GATATTAATATACAGGTAAAGGTAAATTTTATTGAAATGTTTGACTGGCCGTATTTGTTATCTCTTTGGTACCAGATAAAAACACTTTTAGGTGATTATTTTCTTTCCTTTTTTAAAAAAAATGTTTTTATTAATTTGAGAGAGAGCGGAAGGGAGGGAGAGAGAGAGAGAAACATTGATCAGTTGCCTCCTACTGGGGACTAAGCCCAAAACCCGGGCATGTGCCCTAACCGAGAATCAAACTGGCGACCTCTTGGTGCATAGGGCCAACGCTCCACCAGCTGAGCCACACTGGCCAGGGCAGGGGATTTTTTTTTTCTTGACAGAACATCTTGGCTTGTCCACTTGCATACACCTTAGAAATTCAGTTTATCAGTTAGCATGCGGTCACGTGTCACGTGTGTGTAACGGAAAACCATAACTCAACTGATTTCTTAAGAAGGAAATATACTGTTTCACACAATAAGGGGGCCCAGGGCTGTGATCATGCTGCTGCATGACATGCTTAAGAAGCAGTGTTTTTCCATCATTTGGTCACCATCTTCCATCAGTGTCACTTTGTGTTAAAGATGGTTTTTTCTCATGTCAGCCTAGCTCTGTTCTAAGTACTAGTTTTCTTTTCATTTTGTCTTTAGTAAAAGGATTTTTACCATTATATTTTCATAAGGGCTATCAAAATACAAGGTTTATTTTCTCTTTCATTTAGAAGGAATAATTGTCAGTATATTACTCGGGTTTTTCACTTAAAGATTTATAATGCGTTTTTTCATTAGGATAAAGATTAGTTTTTAAAATAAAGTCATGAATCTTCCCCTCTCAACCAGTTTTATCTATAAAATCTGGATAAAACCACCCACTTCATAACAATAAGCAATTCAAAGTGTCTAAAATAATACTAATAAGCACTCCATAAGCAGCAGCTACCATTATTATAATTTCTCCTTTTTAATTTGTTTTGGTGTTCATTCTCACTCAACAAATTCCTTTGTAAAAATGTTCGTTAATTCTCATATGGTGATAATGGTCTTGAATTGGGCATGTCATCTTCTTTTTCCTTTTCCAAGGTTCAAAGAACTTATTATTTCAGATTTTTTTGGAGTAGTAGGTACCAATCCTTTTAACTTCTTCATTCAAAAATAGTATGATGTATAGAAAAAGAAAAAGACTTACTGAGGAAAAGAGGCAAGAGATGGGGCCAAATTGTGACCCTAGGGCTCTCTCTCTCTCTCTCTCTCTTTTTTTTTTTTTTACTTTTGAAAGTCAAGTGAAATTGAGGAAAAGCTGTAATTTTTATAGCTGGGAAGCATTTGTCTCTAGTGGTGAAATTATTATCCTGCATTAATGATGTGCCCTTTTAAGTGGCTCAGATAATCTGCTGAGCTTGCTTTTCGGTTTGAGTTATTTGTTTATTGAATTGGGCTTCTTTTGTTAGAAAGCTGGGGTATTTTACTTCTTATAGTTAAGGCCATTCTCTCTTAAAAAGAAAGATTTCATTTGCCTTTCATGAGGTGTAGATAAAATGATTGCGTCTGTGTAGGGCTCAGGGTGGCATGATAAGAATTGTAGAACCTATTTTCTGTTTGATTAAGAGCAGGCGCATTAACCCGAACCTCTTCATTTGCATGCTTTCATTAGTGCCTTAGAGATTGAATTAAGATAATTAACGAAATAAAATGTGGCCCACTTTTAATCATTTACTGTTTGACAGAGCTTGCCATCCGATACTTTGCAACGAACACTAATAGCCAGCCTTCCTCTCTCGCTGTGTCTTTCCACAAATGTGCTGCAGAGCATTAGGTGGTCAGCAGATAGTTCTTGCATTTCTCTTTAATGTCTCGGTTGAAAGTCTCCTCTTGTGTTTTAACTAATACCTTCTGGACATTTGCATCCAGACAGCGCCTTCCATCTATCTCCCACCCCCTAGATCCTAGTGCTTATCTCAGCGACCTCTGGCTGGTCACTCGCTAAGTTTCCTAGTCTCAGGTAGCCTCATTAGAGCAGAGAGGTTTGCTACTCAAAGTTCCCCAGGGCTATTTTGTGTCTACAGTTTCAGAACATGAAGTCCGGAACTTAACTCATTTTTCCCTTCTCTGTCTTTGGTATCCAGTGTTTCATCTGTGTGCTCACGGATTCATTTTTTTAACTCCTGCATACAGTTGACTGGGTTCTATGTGATTCTTTCTCCAAAATGTGCCTGGTGCATGTTTCCTTTCTGTTCCAGCCCTCATGCTAATCGAAGACTCATCTTCTCTTGTCCATTACAACACCCAGCCTCCCTCCACAATTCATCTCTGGCCACCGCACTGCAGTCGTGTGGACTGTTCCTCTCCTTCCCCAAGACTCTTCTACACGTGGGTTTCTCTCTATGAAATGCTCCTCCACCCACTGTTTGCATGGCAAGCTTCCAATCTTTCCTCAGTGTCAATGGGACTTTTTCAGGGAAGTCTTTCCCCATTAACTTATTGAAATCCAACCCTACACACTCACTCATTCCGTTTTTTGCTGTCACAGTATTTTTGTAAACTATGTTAAGAATTTTAAATTGCATCTTGTAGCACTGGGAAAGCAGGGAAAGATTTTAAGTGGGGATGTCTTGCAATGTGATTATATTGTCAGAGCTCATTCTGGAGGCTGAGTTGAGAAGGGGTTGTAGGGGTGGCAGTGTGGGTGGCAACAGGAAGTGAGATACTGGTTAGCGGGTGAGCAGGCTGTTGTAGTCCTGGGGACAGACGATGCTGGTTGTGGAGATGGAAAGATCTGGATGGCTTGGAGACGCATTTTGAAGGTAGGAATTGCTCACATATTAAACATGAGAGGTGAAAGAAAGAGAATCCAAGGCTGGCTCCCTGGTTCTTGGCTGGAGAAGCTTAGTGCATGAAGGAGCCACTTAGGAAAATGGAAAAGCGTGAGGGAGAATAAGTTTGGGGAAAAAAAACAAAGGATAAGTATAGACATGGTCTGATATTCCTTTCACATTGACGTGAAGATGTTAGGGTAGCTGGACAGAGGGGTCTGGAGTTTGGGTTCAGAAATAAAAAGGGAAATGTCTGAGGGATATAGATGGTTCTTAAACCCAATGGGAATGAATGAAACCTCTGAGAGCAAGTGCACCGAGTGAAGAAAAAAGGGCCCAGACTTAATTTTTAAGGAGATTCATGACTTACAGATTGGCTGTGGAATCAGGAGGAAGACCAATGTGGTGTTACTGAGGCAGAGAAAGGAGGGCTTCAGGGGGGTGGGAAGTCAGCCATGGAGTGGGGCTGAGAGTTTAAGTAAGAGAGAGGGTGACCAGATCTCTAGGTTTGCTTGGGACAGTTCTGATTTATGTGTGTTGTCTTAGCACCGTTTTTATAAAAATGTTCTAGTTTGTTGGTTAATAACATGGTCACCCTAAAGATGATGCTAGAAGAGTGGATTTGTCAGTGGGAAGGTGTTTGGTGACATTGGCAAAGCCTTTTCAATTGAGTGGTGGGGGTCCAATACCAAATCTGAAAGGGACTGTTAACAAATCGTAGCTGTCAAATCCATGAGAATTTCTTATGTTTCCCCTCTATATTTGTGTATGTTTGAAATAGATAAAAATTGTGGATGGGACGTGATTAAGTGAAGATAGCCTATCAGCAAATTTTAAAGAAATTTTGCTCTAAAAGTGAACAAATGAACAAAAGAGAGAGTTCATTCGGTTATAAATTCTAAAGTAAATAAAAATATTTCATTGCTTGAGATAAATTTATTCCCATGGGCTTAAAAACAAACAAGCAAACTAGCAAGTAAACTAGAGGGTAGCAGCTTCCAAAAATTACCAGCAGCAGCTTGTATGTGTGGCTGCCTTTCAGGGTCAAAAATAAAATGCTAACATGTATTTCAGTAAAAGCAGTTTCACTAGGGTCAGAGCAGAGTTCTCATCTTTACCTCCTTTTGTTTAACTGAGATTTACCCTTTAAGGCCCAACGCAGTCCTGCATGCACCTTTCCTATTTTAGCCCTGGCTGAACTCAAATAGCATTTCTTATGGGGACCATGGAATTTCTAGCTTCGCTAATAGCCGTTTTATTTTTGTTCAGAAGTGATTCACGTGGGTTATTTTTCTCTTCCCACCTATGCTGGGATCCCCGTGAGCACAGGATCCAGGAGGGCAGGCTGCTTCTGTGCTCTTTGCCAACCTCGGGCACTTCGTATATGCTTTCCGAGTAGCTCCGGGCATGGCTCACCCAGCGCCTGAGAGCTGGCTGAGTGTCTGAGACTCAGTGGGCTCTTCCTCCCTGAGGGCTCTCCATACAGTGTGTCTCCGTCGAACACCTTCTTGTCTTCATGATGCCTGAGGGTTTTCTCTTGGCTTTGTTTTCCTAGAGCTCAGCTCCGGAGGAGGAGCCCGGGAGCCCCCGGGCCGACACCCCCAGCACGGTCACCGAGGTGGACATGGACCTGGACAGCTATCAGACAGCCCTGGAGGACGTGCTGACCTGGTTGCTCTCTGCCGAGGACACGTTCCAGGAGCAGGAGGACATCTCGGAGGATGTGGAGGAAGTCAAGGAGCAGTTTGCCACCCACGAAGTAAATAATCTGTCGCCCATGAGTGGGCCCTGTCCGCCACGCCACGGTGCCTGTGCCTTATCGGGGCTCTGCCCTGCGATGTGTGCTCACTGAATTCTGCTCCGCAGCAAGGTCACGGCACATTTTAGGACTCGTGACATTTAAATAGGGCTTTGTTTCAAAGTCGGCGTGGGTGACTCACTGTGCACTGGAATTAGGTTTCAGATTTTAATCTTATCGTAATGTGTAAAACTGCGGAGCCACTGACACAAATCAATGCACAGCACTGCTAGTTTCTGAAGTGTATTGTTATAGTTAAAACACAAAGTGGCTAATTAATACAAATACACCCAGTCTTTAGACTTGGAATGTTCCCCAGGAAGCGGTTATTTTTATTGATTGTATGATTAAGCAAATGTCATATCCAGTGTTCATGTATGCTTTCATACAATGAAAATTTCCTACTATTTTGAGGATATAGTGTATTGCACTGTAGTGATTAGCTTATATGGAGATTTCTTTTTGATTAAGTAGTTGTTTTGTGCCAGTATGTTAATTGACAGGTCTCATGTGCTGTTTTGGTTTGAAAATAATAGAAGTTGTCAGATTCTTTCAGCAGTTTCTCTTGGGTGAGCATGGTGTTTTATTTATTCTGTTTTCTCATAATTCCATGTCATGATCTCTCAGTATCATAATCAGCATTTACTTAAAAATAGTTACTATTAGCAGATGTAATATTGTTTTTCTTTGATAGATTCTCCCTTTTTAGTTAGGCCAGTGCTTCTTTCCTATATTCAAAGTTGGGTCAAAGTCTACTTTATTTACACTCTACATGGCTGCCTTTGTCTGTAGCCTCGATATTGAAACATTAATTTATTTATATATTTTTTGCAACGAGCTGCTCACAAATCACAATGATGTACCTTTCTAGGCTTTTATGATGGAGCTGACTGCACACCAGAGCAGCGTGGGGAGCGTCCTGCAGGCAGGAAACCAGCTGATAACACAAGGGACTCTGTCCGATGAAGAGGAGTTTGAAATTCAGGAGCAGATGACCCTGCTGAATGCTAGATGGGAGGCCCTTAGGGTGGAAAGTATGGACAGACAGTCCCGGTGAGTGGAAGCAAAGAACGAACACTTTATTCCACAATGTGTGTTGCCCAGTTTCGTTGAAATAAAAGTCTGTATGTCCGTGAATGCAAGATAATTACAGAGCTTGCCTTGTAAAATTCGACTCTTTTCTTTGTGTAATGCTGCTGGAGTTTTGTATGATCTTTGTTTCTTCTTTGATGTGTTAACCAAATTAAAAGGTAAAAGTTGGAGGACAGAAATTAGGTAAAAGGAAAGGACATTTTATATGGATAGATATTGACTTGCAGTATTAAAATTGGCTAACCATTAACTCAATGTGAAGACAGGATTATGTAGTATTTATTTACAATTTATTACATTTTTAAAGCAGTACTTTCCCCCCCACCCCCAACCCCCCTGCTTCCCGCCTCCCATGGTTCTTTTTTCCCCTCTGCATTGTGTATTAAGGAGCAAACTACATTCCATTGCAATTTCCACCTATTTAATATGCAGGAATTCCTGATTGAAGAAACAATGATTCTGATAGGAATGGTGGGTGCTGTTATTTGCATTCTTGGACTGCATTTAGTTGATTCCATTTAGGAAGAAAATGAAAGTGGTTTTTTTTTGTGTGTGTGTGTGTTTTTTTTTGCTTGTTTCTATATTTAAAGATGAAATGCTGCTTTAAATGGTTAGAGAGGAGTGAGTTTCCGTGCCCCCCATCCCCCACCCCATCCCACCCAGTTTGTTTGCTGCCAGGAGTGTATATTGTGTGCATTTGCCTTTGCAAAGGGGAAAAGCAAGTGAGACTGATGCTGTGTCCCTCCCCACAGGCTGCACGATGTGCTGATGGAGTTGCAGAAGCAGCAGCTGCAGCAGCTCTCTGCCTGGTTGACACTCACGGAAGAACGCATTCAGAAGATGGAGACCTGTCCCCTGGATGACGATTTACAATCCTTGCAAAAGCTGCTAGAAGATCATAAAGTAAATCTGGCTCACATTTCTTTTCTACCTTATCAAATATGAAACAGCAGCACGTGGCCTTCTCACCGGCTTCTGCCCTTAGTGCAGAGGTGGGACACTTCTCAGTGTCCTCTACTCATCAGCAGCTTAGAGGGTGGAGTCCATGGGCATGTGACTTTACTAAAATTTTATGTGGGTATGTATAGTGTCCTAAGGAAAGCTCTATGCCAGTGGTTCTCAACCTTGGCTGCACATTAGAATCACCTGGGAATCTTCTTAAAATCCTGACTTCTGAGCCTCATCCTCTGGAAATTGTTTCTTTGTTACTAATGTTGTAGCCCCACCCCATAACAAAGAAACCACTGCTCTATGCTTTCCTAAGATTCTCAAGGGTTGTTTTGGACCTGTAAGTGGTTAAGAACCCTAGTGTGTGAGCATCAAGGCCGTGCAGAGAAGCAAACCCTCAGATTTATCTGTATCTTATCCTTTGAGGAAAGCTATTCCGATCTGGAAAAGTATCTGGCACTAGGTGAAGAATCAAAATTTGGTGGCTAATTTAATTTGATCACAAATTAAGGAGAAAACTTTTCATAGTCAAGGCAAGGTAGAGCTAATAGCTCCTTTGCAGGTTATCTGAATAATCTGATTTTTCAATGAAATATCTGGATTACTAATAAATAAAGCTTTAGGGATACTTTAAATGCAACTCAAAGGCATTTGACAGCACTGTTGGTAGTGTTTAAATAAATTACCTATATACATACATCTTAGCACTTGCCATGCTCTTCCTGTGGAAGGGGTGAGAATGGAAGTCATCTGTGTCCTTAACTGTTTTCCTGGGCAGTATTCAGAATAGCTTCCGACTATCAAATATTATCTCCTTATCTCTCACTTTATGTCATGCTGCACTAGAGAAAATGATCTTTGTATAGTTAAATTTGGGACTTCTTTGATTTACCAATTCTACATTCTTACCTTAATTCTTAGTATAGACATTCAACTCATTTATGCTACACTAGAGGCCCGGTGCCCAAAAATTTGTGCCCTCA